CTAACTGTGTGAATGCTGCCTGTGGAAGTCAGTATAGTGTGAAGGCAACAAGTTGGCATCTCTACCTACCTATTAAATCGCTCTGAAGCTGTCGTCTGGGAAAATTAAATGTCTTGCTCAAGGTTCTCTAGGGGGACCTGTAGGCTTTTGAATCAAGGCTACCTACATCTCAGCTCTATGGGATTTGCAATGCCAGGCCTAAGTTAAAGAGCAAAGGAGGCATTAGTGATAATGTAACACTCAGCTTCCTTCTGTGATGTAAGCAAGAATATCAGGAAAAGCGAGGTGCGGCTGGGTGTGTAGGGGTCTGGTGTGTGACTCCTGAAGTGTGGGTTTGACTTGCTTGCCTTCTCTAAGTCTCAGAATCTCTGAAAATTGATTGATTCAGTAAAACTGCCTCCATACTAGTAAAACAAAGCTTAGAATGCAAAAGTCCTTCAAGGTTTCGATTGTGTAAGAACCCCACCCCCATCCCCATCCCCGGATCTTCATTAAACATGATCCAACTCCTACCTCATCCCCATTTACCTCTGCATGCTGGTGTTCTGGACATGCTGGCGCATGGGTGGCTAGAATGAGATCTCTTCTCTGTCATTTCAGGAACACAGTTTTGTTTGACTGAAGATGAAATTTCCTAAACTTGTATGAGAATCTCCCCCAAAACACTGTTTTTTCCCCTGATATCTTAGTTAGATAAATGCCTTTGTAAAGTCTATTATCTCTCTATCTTCTTTACTTCATGGCCCCTGTGATGGCATTTAATTTGTGAATACTTCTTCCGGTTACACTGTAAAGTGGTAATGGCTGAGCCAGTATCTTCTCTTATGATGTGTTTGGTGCACAGACGTGCTAATCATCGTTTGTATAATGAACAATTAATAGAAAACACTCCCTACATTTGGCATACTTGGGAGATGGAACAGGAGGATCAAAAGTTCAGGAATATCTTCTACTATCTAATGTTCAAGGTCAGATCTCTTTGCTATATGAGATCCAAAGTTTAAGAAGAGAAAAAATAAGAAAGGTAATGGGTGCTTAAAATAAAAGGATTTATGTAATTCTCAAACATGTTTTAATTTCAGAGCAGGGAACAAGACTCAGCCAATACTGTCATAGTCTGGACACTTCAGAAGCATAGCCATGTTCAAACACAGGAGCATACAGGAATCCAAGTGTTACTTATATAAATTTAGCTTGGTGGCTCGTGATGACTGGGCAGGTGACTTCCTATGTCAGTCATCTAGAAGACTTCTCTCTTCCATACCAAAGTCTGAATACCTCATTGAACATACAAACAGCTGTTCTTACAGAGAGTTTGTCCCCCAAATCCACCTGCTGCTTAGAAACATCCAGAAAGGTGAACACATAGGGAGATTGCACAGCAGATTTAGCATGGAACCTGCTCAGAAACATTGGTAATTGTTACCAATTGATAGATTATGCCAGCTTCTGCTACTGCAGAGTCAAGGAATCCCCAAAGTATTTCATTCCATGTTTTCCTACTTTCCACTTGAAAATTTCTTTCTTTGCTCTCAGCTCTCAGAAACAATCTCAAGACCATTATGCACATGCTCTTTATCTCAGGATTTGTAAGTTCATTGGGTATGATTTATGTGTAACTTGGATTCAACTTTTGTTTAGGAAAATAGATGTTTTTAATTAGCAGCCATGTGTTTGTCTCAGTCTTGGCTAATGTCTTCATCAGGACGGAAGCAACCATGTGGTTGGCAATCATCTTTACTAAGGTTAAAAGAGAGTACTCACCATGTAACTTCACCACCATCTTGATTAAGATGAGCATGTGGTATAAGCCATCTAAGGCAACATCTATAAAACTTATTAGTCCTACTTGGCTCTCTGATTATCATTGTATCTCCTTTTTAGGCTAAGGAGACGACAGCATGTCTCCAAGATATTTTGGATTTGGATGCATATTTTGTTCTGAGAGTAAAAGTTTTAGATAATGAACAACATATATTTAATGAATAAAGCATATTTGATAAATAAAGTTTATAAATTCCCAAGTTCTAGTTAGATTAACAGAAGCTGACATATATACCTATTCTCTTTGTGTTTGCTATTGCTAATGTTGCTAAGCTTTAGCTATTTGGATAAACTGAGTCATACAAGAAACTGTGATATTCTATATGGGTACACAATAAAAGAATCAGAAAAATAAGGTCCTCAATCCCTCTGTGAACTGTATTTATTGTTTAAAGTTTTATTTTGATGCTAAAGTGTCTTCAATTCAGATTTTTAAGGCTCAAACTTAACAGGGATAAAACTGTAAAAGCCTAATCTTATAAAAGCTACTAACTTGGCAACTGTTAAATAAAAGGCATGCAAGTTAATGTTCAGCCACCTTATAAATGATCAAATTCTTTAATGTGCTCAGAGCTATGCTTGTAGTCATGATAAGTAAAAATGTAACTCATTTATAGGGACAAGCTTTATTTAAATTTCTGTGTATATCTTTCAAGATTAAGCCTGAAGCAACTAACTAAAAATAAGTAAAATTTGATTAAGATCTGGTATACTTACCAGATTATGGCCCTCAAAACTCCCCCAGACATCTCCTGAATATGCCATTTAAATTATTTAATGAAAAAACTTCCAGTGATAGACAAAAATCACAGCTCTGAACTTTGTCCCTAAGGTCTCCTCCAAGGAAGGTGACAGGGCACAAATGAACTCCGTTAGAAGCTTGCTTCAAATGTGACAAAGATGTCTACTGGACAAAGAGCTGCCCATGCCTTGCCTACCACCAGGGCCCTACCCAAACTGTGAGCACTGTTGAATTGCTTTCCCGTCTCTGTTTGACCAACGCACATCATTTTCCCAAGTTCCTCATTTCCAGGAAAGGCTCTTGAATCTTTGTGTATGGCAACTAAAAGCTAATGCTGACCTATGTGGCAGCTGAGGACTTAATGCTGTCCTGTGACAGCTGAAAACTGATGTCTTCTGTCCCTAACAAAGCCTCCGAGACCAAGGAGGAACCTAGGACAATTAAAGTGGGTGTCACTTTAATTGATACAGAGGCCATTTGGATTATACTTCCTGCTCTAATTTATCCTTCTCAGATCTGCAATATTGATGGCTAGTTGTAGCTTTATCAGTTTAACAACAGCAAGAACCAGTTCTCCCTGCCTCACACTGCTACAGCTGTGTGTGTGTTTTATCTATTTATTTCTTTATTTATTTTTGTAGAGCTACTAAGTCTTCTGCTGAGAAAGGCAGAATTCATGTGGAAAGAGGCAAACTCCTAATACAGGCTTCAATTTAACTTTTTTTTTTGGTTTTACGAGACAGGGTTTCTCTGTATTGTTTTGGAGGCTGTCATCCAGCCTGGCCTCGAATTCACAGAGATACGCCTGCCTCTGCCTCCCGAGTGCTGGGATTAAAGGCATGCGCCACCACTGCCCGGCTCAATTTAACTTTTAACTATTCTTTTATTTAAAGGAATTTGCTTTGCAATGACTGCTCTCAGTAATCAACCACTATGTCTCATGTAAATGATTGGGTGAAAAAAGAAATGGTTTGAAGTTAATTTAAGTTGTGATTATTAATAAAGTAATTTAAGGTATCTAATGTAAGTTGTAAAGGTCTGATCCTGTAAAAGCTTGAGTAAGTTCTGAGGATCTAAGAAAGCGATTTATGGCATGTAAAAGCAAGTTATAAAGGTCTGAGGACATGATTTAAGGTATGTGAAAAATGAGAATTATTTCAGATTTCTTTCCCTTTTGCTATGCTATTGTTATATTGAGACTTCAAAAGTTCAGAGTTTTAACAACAATCCGCAGAGCTCTGATAAACTATTAGCCCAGACCTGGTAAAGCACTGACTACTATTATCACAGTCACAGTTCAATTTCTTTTGTCTTTTTCCTAAGTAAAGTCTTAAAAGGACTTCTCACTGGCTGATGTCACTCCCGTCTCATCTATCTCTCTATCCAGCCCTCTGGACAGAGGAAAGAGCATTCACGCTTCAAACCCCAAACCATAGCTTTTGCTCTGATTCAAAAGCTTGAGTCTACTCCAGACACTTGCTAACTAACTGCCTTACTGTAACAAAAAATAAAAACCCAGGGACTGATATTAGGCTTCAAGCTTCAAGCTGAAGATCAGAAAAGCAAAGCAACTGACCACTAGCTCTTACCTCTGCCTCAGTCTGCAAGGGTGATCCTGCTAGCTCCATGAATCCTCAAATTGCAATACTAGACTGCTGCCTCTCCACAATATGGCTGGAGACTAAATCTCTTCATCAAACATCAGACTGCAGTCCCAGATTGCTGCCTCTTCCTATAACAGCTGTCAAATCCTGGGATTAAAGGCGTGTGATCCCAAGTGCTGAGATCCTCTTTGTGTATGCTGTTTCTCTTTAAGACTGGATCAATTTCACGTAGCTCGGTGTGGCCTTGAACTAACAGAGATTCATCTGCTTGTCTCCTAAGTCCTGGGATTAAAGGTGTGTGTCACCATTGCTTGGCTCTATAGCTTGTGGCTAGCTTTGCTTTTTGTATTCTCAGCCAAGCTTTAATAAATCACAAATAATGTATCACCACACTTTTCTACAATGTATATTTCAGTGTAGATTACAAACAGTGGCAATGCTAAAATGCCTTAAACATATATCTCATTTTATAAACTTAACAATTTCATATATACTTCATGGAGTCGTGATTTGGATCCACATTCCATAGGTTAAATGGACTCCAGATAAGTGCTCCCGTCAATAGCTTCAGCTTTCTCACCATTTCCCACCCTTGAGGGTGGGAGTTTCTCTCTCTCTCCCTTCCCCCTAGTCTTGGAAGTCCTCCCTTTCCCCCAGCTCCCAGGACCTGGAAGTGTCAAGTGTACACCCAAAATAAAAAGTTTCTCCTAAGCTCCTTGATGGGGAAGTCCTGTGTATATGTCAATAAAGCACTGTTGGCCAATAGGGAAGCAAGATAGGTGGGACTAGGAGTTGAGGAGGATTCTGGGAAAGAGAGACACAGGCAGACACGCCATGTAGCCACCAGAGGAGGAAGAGGTCCGGACCTTTCTCTGGTAAGAGAAATACTTAGATTAACAATTATGGGGTAAATACTTAAGTCAGAGATAGCCAGTAAGAAACCAAACAAACGGCCAAGAGCTTCATAATTAATACAGTGTCCTGTGTGTTATTTGGGGATGGCAACTGTGGCAGGGCCCAGGCAGCTGGCGGGGGCAAAAAACCAAAGGGGCTGGCAAGGAAGGCTCCGCTCTACAGCTCCTTAGCTTAACCTCTGCCCCTAGTTCATATCTGTGCCAGCAGATTTCTAGTCAGCACTAGCCCTTGGGGGAACCAGACTTGTTGAAGACTGGTGTGAACTGGATATTTCCGATGACTTTCCTACATGCCCAAGCCTCTGTCTTGAACCAGCACTCCAGGCTGATCCAATGTGTCCTGCACTTCTCTGGCCTCAGGTGATCCTACAGAACCCAGGCAGCAATCGAAACAGATGCCTCCAAGCCTGGCCTCCTCTCACCCCTCAGGCTTTTTGACCAGCCTTCCAGGCCTCTTGGGCCCTGAAAATAGTGGCAGAACTTCATGTAAGTATCAGTTACAGAAGAGATGCTGTTGCCTTTCATCACCAACAAATGGATAGAATGTCAAATCCAAATGAAATGCCACTTCCCAAAATAGTGACACCCATTTCCCTCCACCAAAGGAGCCATTCTCCATCACTGTCAGAGGGACAAATGTCTATCTCTCTGTGTTATGTCTATTAGTATACCAAATTGTATGCTTGTTGCGGGATATTTTTTTGTACTCTGTGAAGATGTGTCTCTGTTTTACCTCATCTGCCTAGCACATCTTAATAAAGAGCTGAATGGTCAATAGCTAGGCAGGAGAGGATAGGTAGGACTTCTGTATAGAGATAGGAACTCTGGGAAGGAATTCCAGAGGAAGGGCATTCACCGGCAAGATGCAGAGGAAGTTGGATAGTACTGGGGAAAAGTAATTAATAAAAAGTTTCCATGTCATTATTTGGGATCTGGCAGTACAAAGAAAGTCTGACTACACTTGCTGACCTCCAGATCTCTCAGTATCACAACTGGCTCTTCTCAGCAGTTTTCACTCAGCCCCCTATCCTAAACTTCTCCAGCTCTTTCTCTGCCTCTCTTGCTTCCTCACTCTGCTGGCCATGCTCAGTCTCCTACTTTCTCTCTGCGCTCTTACAGATGCCTCTGGCTGTGATCTTTCTCCTCAACACACCGTGAAGCAGGCATGTCTTCAGTTTTTACATCTACTGTCAAAAACCAGTTGCTGAACATGGCTGTTAACTTATGTGTCAATTTGACTGGGCCAGAGTGCCAAGACACTTTGTGAAGCATTATCCTGGGTGTCCCTGCATGAGATTAACATTTGCAAAACAGGACGGAACAAAGCAGATTGCTCTTTGATGTGAATAGGCCCTATATAATAAGCTGTGATCTGAGAAGGACAGAAAGTTGGACCCGCCTGTGAGTAAGGTCAATGCCTTTGAGCTGGGACATCTGTTCCTTTTTAATATTTAGTGTGTGTGTGTGTGTGTGTGTGTGTGTGTGTGTGTGTGTATCTGTGCACATTAGTGCAGTTGCCACAGAAGCCAGGGGAGGGCATGTGGTCCACTGGTGTTTGTAAGCAATATGATATAGGTGCTGGGAAATAAACTTGGGTCCTCTGCAAGAACACTAACGTCCTCTTAACTGCTGGGAAATCTTTTCAATCCACACAGGTTAATTTAATTAATATATATATATATATATATATATAGTGTGTGTGTGTGTGTGTGTGTGTGTGTATTGAAGTCTGTCTTAGTTAGGGTTTTTATTGCTGTGAAGAGACACCATGACCACGGCAACTCTTACAAAGAAAGCATTTAACTGGCACAGCTCACTTACAGTTTCAGAGGCTTAGTTCATTATCATCATGACTGGGAGCAGGAAGACATGGTGCTGGAGCTGAACAAACTACATCTTAATAGGTAACAAGAAGTTGACTGACAGTCACATGAGGAAAGCTTGAGAAAAGACCTCAAAGCCCGCCCTCACAGTGACACACTTCCTGCAAGACTGCACCTACTCCAACAAGACCACACCTCCTAATAGTGCCACTCCCTTTGGGGGCCACTTCCTTTCAAACCACCACAAGGTCAGAGGACAATATGTGGAGGTCCGTTTTCTTCTGCCACCTCGTGGTTCCCAGAGATTGAAGGGACATCAGTTATTTCCCTAGGACTCAGGATTATCAACCTTCAGAGTAGAACTACATCATTGGGACCTCACCTCATGAGTCCTCAGAGACGTCTCAAACTCTATAGTTATAAAAACAAGTCTTTATCTCTCTCTCTCTCTCTCTCTCTCTCTCACACACACACACACACACACATACACACACACACACACCTGCTTCCATTTAACAAATAATATAGCGTGGGTAACACTGATTTAAGTGTAGCTGTTTAAATTTACAGCAAATGCCACTTGAAGTATTTAGCTAGTGAGCATTGTTTTTACATTAGACTCTGCTAAACAGTATTTTTTTAAAGATCGAGTAGTATTTCCCAGAAAACAGTTAAATTATACTTCTTAATTGAAGCTTTAGGAGCTATGACCCTATTAACTGTAGATTTATTTTGCAGCAAGTACTTAGAATAATCATCCCTACAAATTACAATTTGCATTCATTTCTTAACTTGCAGAAATGCAGCTACCCCAATAGAATTAATCAACAAAAGTTAAGTCTTAAATTATGCCTTAGAGTAGCCAGGCAGTAGTGCCACACACCTTTAATCCCAGCACTCGGGAGGCAGAAGCAGGTGGATCTCTGTGAGTTCAAGGCCAGCCTGGTCTACAGAGCAAGTTCCAGGATAGGCTCCTAAGCTACATAGAGAAACTCTGTCTTGAAACACCAAAAATTATGACCGATAATAAATACTTCAGGATGACATATAAGGTAGACATCAAGTTCATTATCAGGAATGGACATTTAAGGTGGTCTCTCCACTATTGCTTAGGTTGCCAGTTGGTGTCATCCTTTTAGATCACTAGAGGTCTCACTGGTGCCAGATCTCTTTTCCAACTTATGACTCCTTCTATTATGGTATTTCTCATCCTGTTCTCCCCCTATTCTACTCCCCACTCAACCTTCCTGTTCCCCCATGACCTACTCTCTCCTCCTCTTCTACCCCTGTTTTCTTCCCAGCTCCTACCTCCCCCCCCACCTCCCGCCGTGTTCCCAATCTGTTCAGGAGATCTTGCCTTATTCCTCTAGAACCTTCATCCAGTGACTGATGGAAGCAGAGGCAAACACCCACAGTTAAACATTGAACTGAACCCATGGAACCCAGTGACAGAGAGAGAGAGGAGCAATGAGCAAATTGGCAAAGAATGGGCTGGCAAAACCAGCAGAGACAGCTGATCTGAACAAGGGGAAGCTCTTGGACCCCAGACCAATAGCTGGGAGGCCAGCAAGGGAATGATTTAGATCCCCTGAGTGTGAGTCAGTGAAGGAGGCTTGGGCAACCTATGAGACCCTCTATTTATCCCTGGCATACAAACGGACTTTATGTGTCCATAACAAAAAAAGGGATGCTCTCTCAGCCTGGACTCTTAGGGGAGTGCCTAGACTCTGCCCTGAGCGAAATGACAGACTCTGGATATCCCCTATGTGGAAGGAACTGGGGATAGGGTTGGAGGCTGGGGGGATGGTGAGGGGGCGTGGGAGGTGGGGAGGGAGAGGGAACTGGGATTGGCATGTGAAGCAAGCTATTTAAAATTAAACTAATAAAAATAAATAAATACTTCAGATTCATGAACAATTGGGAGGTACAACCCAGCTCATGATCACTCTAAATTATATAGAGAGCCAATTTATCTTCCATCAAAACTCCCATGATACCTGAATATCTTGATCAGGTAGCATCTGTGCATCCTTACCATTTTGGTGTTTGTTTGATTCATGATGGCTGATTGACACATGTGGTTGGATGGGTAGGGTTGTGTGCTGTGAGTTTTCATGTGTTCATCTGTCCACTGTATCATATATGGAAGAGAGGATACTTCCCTGGACTCTAAGTCCATAATACTAAACCATGGGGCTAAACCTTGTTCTGTCTCATTTTTCCTTGGTAAAGCCCACTGTTCTTCCGCCCATAGTCACCTGTCTTCCTGCCTGTGGAACGGAAGCAACACCTTGGACTCCTCCACTTCCTTCTGCTTCCCTGCACAGGTGCTCCAGTTGGTTACTGTCCAACTCATCTATACTGCTGTTGCCGTGTTTTCTCTCCATCATTTTATGGATGTCTAACATCTAGACAGACTGAGGCAAAGATTGCCAGCCAAGATGTCCTTGTCAGAGGTTCTTCTGTCAGCATTTTGGACACTTCCAGGGATTGAAATTGCCTACCATTTCACTCTGAACTCTTTGAAGATGGGATTTCCCATTATCATGCAACGGCCAATGTTTCATTCTTTGTTCCTGTGACTTATCTGCCGAATATGCTCTCCTACTACCTCAGGATGGCCCTTCACCTGGAGTCTCCTGTTATGACTATAGGCTAATTGTCTCTTACTTTGCCTTTTTACTGTAGTCAGTGGGGTCTTGCCAGGACAGCCTTCTATAGACTGTGCCAGAAAAGGCCATGAAAAAAAGAATTACTAATATCTATTATATTTGTGCAGTCAAATGGTCAATGCATGGCTTCTATTTACACCAGACTCTTATTCCTGAAAAGCTAGTAGGAAGTGCCCATGGTGTAGTTGTATGTCAATAGAATTTCTAATGTCACCATTTAACCTATTATTGAATTCAGTGTTGACAGTGACTCCATCTAAATGAATTGTGTATTAGTCTGATAAACTGTTGAAATAAAATCTTGGTGTTATGTTTTAAGTTAGTTCCTAAGTATGTAGACATGGTAGAGAGTAGACAGAAAGTATTTTGCTTTGAAAGTCAATCCAGTAAATATCATCCCCATCCTTGCTTTCTCCTGTTTTCCTCTGTCTCTGTCTCTGTCTCTCCCTCTCTCCTCTCTTCTCCTTTCTTTTTTGAGCAAAGCAATATGACTATAAAAGAATTTGAAGACCACAGGTATTTTTTTTAAATCAGATCTCAAATACAATTTTGAGAAACTTTCCTTTCTAGTGTCACACACTGTACCATTGATAGCAGAGCTGGGTCCAGGTCCCACCCACTCATTGATAATGTACTGCAGACAAATTTCAAATTAGATTAACTTACAGGTCTCTACTGTTTTGCTACACAGAAATGGGTGTGTAATATAACAAAGACACACGTTGCAATGCATTCTAGGTCTGCTGAAGATCCATGCACCTGTGCTAGAACACAAGCACAAATGAATGCAAAGGTGGTGGTGGTGGGGGGCAATCTCATTGCTTGCCAAAACCATCAAGGAAGGTTTCCATGCAGGATGGAAACAAAAATCTGTACCTAATGTCCTGCAGTGAAATTCACTCGGCTAAGTCAATATTTATATTTAAAAATGGAAAATTAAATCACTGTTTTGATTTATTTTCAAGAAGCAAATTAATAACTCACATCATCCCCAACAAAAGACAAGTGACTCGGTGTACTTGTGCCTCTGTCCACCTGCTTACATAAAGGATCATCCACACATGGTCCCACTGCTGCCTGCCCATTAGCACATCATCGCTACATTAAGAGCCTCTCTAAAACCAATCTTTCTAATGCTGGTAGGCAACTTTGACCTTCACTTTCTTGCAGTGTGAATAACATTGCATCGTATCTACACAGAACAATGCAATCATCTTTTCTATTTGCAGCACTAAGACAGTCAACAGTATTTGATACAATCAGCATGTGTCTTGATAGGGAAGGCACATGGTGACAAGCCTAACTGAATGTAGTTATTCGGCTGTCATGAAATGCACCTTATGGTGATAAACTTCCCCCATAAAATTGGAAGACTATCACATAAACATGTTTCACGAAGAAATACACTAACAGAATTCACTGCCGGGTGATTGTTGGAAAACAGTGTTGTATTTATTGTGCCATGGTGTTCACAGTGTGTGTCAGTGTTCCAATGCTCATTACATTTTACAATGAAGTAATTACCGGGTGGTGATTTCTTTATTCTGGCCAACAATTTTATCTAATTAGTGAACAATAAATTGAAACAATTAGATTAAGGAAATTTGGATGGACATAGCAGGCAGACTGACTTTCCAGTTATAGACTCATTGGGGATGTTTATATATTTTTTATCTTCATGGTAAATTGCATTTTCCTACCCCAGCTGTTTTACCTGTCATCTCTCTCTCTCTCTCTCTCTCTCTCTCTCTCTCTCTCTCTGTCTGTCTTTCTCTCTCTCTGTCTCTCTCTCTCTCTCTCTCTCTCTCTCTCTCACACACACACACACACACACACTCTTCCCACTGCCACAATGTTTTTATTAAGTACTAAAATAATGACTGTGTTAATGGAGTTGCTGAAGGATCTATGGCACATTGCTGAGGTTAGGATATAATTGTCTAGTGAAACACTTATATAGCCCCTAAACTGAAAATATAAAACTTACTTCAAGACATCTGCCCTTAAGTTTTATGATCACCCAGGGAATGCTGCACATATCCTGGTGCCTACTCTCTGGCTAGAAGGATGAAGGAGGACCCTCTGGGAATCTGTATGAAAAGTCCAGCCTCTTTGCTTTGCTGAAGGAGGGCTTGAGGATAGGACCAGTCTGAGTTTTCTGTCACAGTTGCAATCACACATCTGGATATTGTCCTTTGTGTTTCAATGAATTTATACGTTAAGAGATAGCTTTTCAGCCCCAGGTACAATCATGACAGATTATACCTTTTAAAGACAGCAATTTCAGGAGAGACTGAAATCTGAGGGGCTGAGGAAACCAACCCAGCCGTTCTAGCATACCTAGCATGTGTTAACTTGTTTTGTAAACTGACAAGGCAGGTTTCAAAACAAAGTCATTGTGAGGAACATGAAGGACACAAATTATACTAAAAGCCAGTATATCACCATAATGAATACGTGTGAATTCAGCACACAGCCTTAAAACACGAAAAGAGTCAGTGACTGCCACTTGGAGGTAATGAACCATGATCACCTGAGTGACTCAGGATATAGACAGATCATGGAGACTTAAAAAAAAACACCTCGTGGTGACCTTTGGTAGGACCTTCTTTGTCTAATATGACATTTTAAGACTCCCATATCATTGTGACAGTGCAGGCTATATGTGTCATGGAGCTCAGGTAAGGTCACTGTGCAGGAGGCACACTTGCCTATGGATATGCATTCCTACTCTTCCATCTATCTGTTCAGCCACAATTCAGTGGCATTTAAGTGTTAAAGGAGAAAAGGGTTAAACTTAATATTGAGTACATGATTATGGTTTAGTCTTACTATACCACACAAATGTATTATTTATATGCATATGATAGAAGTTTCTGGAAGCATTAAGGAGAGCATGTCCCTGGCTTTTCTAAAAGTCTGGTCTGGGTCTTAATGCTTCCTTATACCCCAGTATCTTGCTTATTAGTACATGGGCAACAGATAGGTAAATCAATGATGGCTATTTGTGTGTATAATTTTTTCCTGTCATCGTACTTCAACTGATGAACATTCATACAATGTGTTAGGCATTAGGCTTATGTTTTACACGTTATTTGTTAATCTCTACAACAAATAAAGGTATGTCATATATATATATATACTGGTATCTTAACATATGAGAAATATTAAATAAGTAATTGAGACTTCTATGAGATATGGATGATGAATCTAGGATGATTCTAGTAGAATCTCCATTCTTGACCAGGGGAACCCTGGCTCTCTTTGTAATCATAACTGTTTCCCTGACTTTGCAAATTGAAAATTATTGTTTAAATTATTCTTCAATGATTTTGTGCATGTATACAGTAAATCATGTTTGCACCCACTCCATCCTTTCTCATTACTACCTCTTGTCATTGCCTTCTCCTCTTTATATATAATTTCCCACTTTCATGTCTTCTCTCACATTTTTTAGTGAAAATTGCTCTTAAACTTTGTCAACTGTCCACTGAGTAGGACTGTGAGCTGGTACTATACCAGGCTGAGTATATCCATTCTACTAGGGTCTGGGTATAGGTAAGGGGGCAGCAGAGAGTCCATGCCTCCATTTGGCTTGTGTTCAAAGACAAGAAACAATAATTAATAGTACAAATACAAACATACACCTGCTTCTATGAGACAGCCTTCGTTCTTGTGAATGAACTACTGAGAGCAAGGAATAAGAGTAGGCTGGGCCTGGAGGGTACAGAACATCCAGGGTGCTTCTGCAGTCAGGGTGTTGGGCAGTCTTTTGTGAAGCAGTTAAGGAGGCTGTCATTGGAAAAAGAACTAGGAGGAAACACAAGGGCAGGGCCATAATAGGGAACATTCCTGATTGCTCAAGAGCCACAGCGCTAATTGAATCTGAGCTACAGGGCGGGTGAGAGAAGGTGAAGCAACAGGAAGGGCAAACAAGAGAGTGTCAGTGACACAGGTCTGGGCTTCCTTTAAAAATGATGAAATGAAGTCTGGCATGTTTACTATGGTGTTGGCATGAGTATGAGAGGGCATCAGTTGATATTATATACAGATAAGGGGTCATAGCTTTTCTCATCAAAATTACTGTTACAGACTACATGCATGTGTGCTGTCTTCTTCATGAAGCAATCTCGTCCCCTACTGTACATTCAGAAGGGGTGTTCCGGAGAAGAAATTAGGTCGCGAGGATGGAGACCTCAAGAATGGCATCAGTGACCTCATTACAGGATGCCCGTGAGCTCTCCAGCCTGCCTTCCAGCAAGCAAGGACACTGAAAAGCCATCTACGAACTAAGAAGAAAGCCCCCATCAGAAAACACCTACTGACGCTTTGGACTCTCAATATCCAGCAAGAAATGTGACGAGTTCACGAGCCACCTAGTCTGTGGTAGTTTTGTTCCCATAACCTAAACTGATCAGGACAAAAGTTGGTATGCAAGGAAGCATACGATTTGAAAATATACCGAAGTGTGGATAGAAGCTGGGAGAATTTTCACAAACAAGGTCTTGTAGCAGTTCTTCCTTTATGGTTCTGAAGCAGGGACCATGGGAGCCCAGTGTGGACTCTCCCAGAGAAAGCCACTGCTGTGGAGCTGCCCAGGGACACGGGGCAGTAGAGACAGAAGCAACCAATCAAGTACTTACAGTTGTCATAGCAAATGTGCTTAAAGTCTGACATTAGAGAAGGTTGCTTGGGGCTGCTCTGTATCCATTTAACAGATAAGGAGGAACTATATACATTTGGAAGTGCCAATTCCACCTGCTGATGGTGGAGGATCCCTGTGTGTCCTATGGGAAGGGGTAGAAAGTACCTGGGGATTGAACTAACTTAGGATGAGCTGCTTGGGGTCTGAGTACTGTCTAGTACACTAGAAAATGAAACTGCTAAAAAGAACACAAAGTATCACAAAAATCTCTGCCCACAGTGCACATAAAGGAACATTTTTGTGCATCCATATGGCTCGGTCTACTAGGGCCAACTGCTAATAGAGTAGAAAACACTGCGGTCGTCAAGTGAAATTTGGAGGAAAAAGACAGGCTCATCTGTCGATGCGTCAGCATCACAGGTGCCCCCTCCATTCTCTGACACATTTTAGCCCAAGAACTGTTTCCTGACAGAAACTTACTACAAGGGCCTGTCAACCTAAGGAGGCAGAGTCCTCAAGCTTACAACTACAGCTTCACTTGAGAAATCCAAGACAAATCTCAATCAAAATCCCAAATTAGTTTTGTTAGTTGGTGACCTTAAGTAAATTGTGTAATGTGTTGAGTTCTCAAATTGCATGTATAAAAGGGAGATCATGGTGCCTAGTGGCCCGAGGCTTAACTCAAATTAGTGTCCAGAGCACCAGGCATATCACTATATAACTGACAATGAATGCTATTTTCTTTGGGATGCAAACTTGCCAGTATAAGAGTGGATGGTGGCAGGTGGACACTGAGTTTTAGAACTTTTATGTGAATGTGTCCTAGAGTCATAGGACCAGGGATCACACATCTGTCCTTAATTTCCTCTCTCCTCAGACAGTTCGGATTCACTCTCCTATCCTTGAAATGCCTAGAACTAACGGCTTTCAAAGATCAGAGATTTAGCTATTAAGACTAGAAAGGTTCTTTCTAAAGCCCCGCTGAAATGAAGAAGCTTTTTTGGAAGGCAGACTGCTGTCACTGGCTTAGGAACTGGCTTTCACCCTTATCACAAAGTGTCATGTTTCAGTTATGCTATACTGAGAATTTCTATAAATGATTCAGTCATCTCCAAGAGATCACTTCTTTACTATCTGGTGGGGTAGAAAGCACTTGAGTGACCTGGAAATCTCCCCAGGAAGTGCTCCCGTACATCTACATGATCTCTCAGTGTCTGGTCATCCCAAGTCATTGTTATATTCATACAGGAGCATCCTGGGAAGAGCTCAAACCATCTTGGTTTTTATTTACTTGGGCTGGAAGCAAAGCAGAGCCCAAGGTTCACAGACATTAAATTATGTATATAAATAGAAGACAGGTTCCCCAGAACAAGGTTTGAGGTGGAATTCAGGGCACTTCCCCTGTGAAAGGACAGGAAGAAAGCAAAAAATGCAGAGTGTGGACCTGCAATGCATTCCCAACAGAGACCTGCATTTACATTGGGTTGGCAGAGCGGGGCTCTGGAGGCGAAATGTCTGATTAGAGTCATCTGATTTGGTGCCAGGTCAGGCTTCTTCTCTAGCCAGTCATTGGCTGGAACATCCCTTGATGACGTACCAGGCTTTGAATGAGATGTCTTGTGAATGATGTTGTACTTAACGCAGTCTTCTAGGACTGTCCCTGGCAACTGGGAATAGACTCACTCTATCCTAAGGGAAGACTACACAACATACTGCAGTGGCTCCCACATGAAGTGGCTTATCCAAAATGACAAAATTTTGAGGAAACTCAAGATTCCTGACTCAAGAATCTCTCTTTCCTATTTAGCCTCTTGCCCATTGCTTATATTGTATTCTGTCCCACAATAAATATCCCATAGTCTTTCTTGTACCATCCTCCTTTGGAGCAATTCTTCAGAACATGAGAGATGAGGGTCCCCTGAATGTTATGTAAGGGTTTGTATTGATTGTTAAATAACCAGCTATTCTGTGCAAGACCAAACAGCCCCAATAAATAATAGGACTCAATGTTAAAGTCTTTGTCTCAGCTCTGCAGCATGAGGGAAAGACTGAGGGGAGGCAGTGTGGTGGTTTGAAAGAAAATGACCCCAAAAGTGAGTGGCACTATTAGGAGGTGTGGCTTTGTTAAAGTGGGTGTATTCTTTTGGAGGAAGTGTGTCTCTGTGTAGGTGAGCTTTGAAGTCTCATATATACTGAAGCTATACCCAGTGCCTCAGTTCACATCATGTTGTCTTTGGATCAAGAAGCAGAACTTTCCAGCACCACGTCTGTCTGCATGCTGCCTTGCTTCCCATCATGATGATAATGGACTGAACCTCTGAACTGTAAGGGAGCCACTACAATTAAATGCTTTCCTTTATAAGAGTTGCCATGGTCCTGGTGTCTCTTCAAAGCAATGCAAACTCTGACTAAAACAGGCAGTGAAAAGAAAATTTAGTCACACAGCATACAGGGTAATGAACTTAATTCCCCAAATTATCAATCTCAGATCCCTAGATCCCAGCATGTTTCTTTTGATGTCATTTAGTGATAATTTCAGGGTAAATGCACAGTATATTGACTAAGAAGTAATTAATGTATCTGACTTGCAAATAGCAACTTTTGGATTTTTCTTTTCTTTGAAGTATGACCAAAGTCAAACCATTCTTGAAATAGTGCCCATGGGGATAAGATGCTTGCTGCCACTGGAAGTTCTGCAGGCTTCTGATGGCAGAAGGAACCTTTTTCCTAGCTGTAGTTCACAACAGCCATTCTTCAAAAACAGTTACGCTGTCTACTTGTGATGGCCACTGACCATGCTGTGTCCATGTTCCTTTTTATCACTGTCTACTCTATCATAGCTCCTCGGATTCCTTCCCACTTCAGATGTGGGGTACTTAGGGCCCCCTCACTGCAGGTAGTCTGAGGAGGCTGTACTATTTCAGCTGGCCTCCCTGAATTCTGTTTATACGTCTGTAAATGTTTTCTTAAAGTCTCCTCAATGTACTGAGTGACTCTGCCAGATGCTGCCATTCAATCACCAACCTCTGTCTACTTGGGACCTGGTACAGCTTTGCCCAGAGAAGCATCTCAGAAAGAAATAATCTTTTCATTCTGATATCATGGGCAGACATTCACATTCAAAATGCCCAGAGCAAATAGTCATCTTCCCTTGTCTTATCCCTTGTCCACTATCCCTTCCCACATCCTTCTCTCCTTAAGCAAAGTTATCATCCGTGGGGGGAGCTTTCAGCTTATCCTGGGTACTGGGATGGAGGATGGCTTCCAGAAAGCATGACAAATGCAGAAGAATGTCAAGATGTGACAGTCTCAATGGACCGAGATTTCAAAAACCTTCTGCAAGGGAGACTTTGAAGTGCCTTATTCAAAGGCGGTCAGAGCCTTTATCGTACCAGGAGGACATTCCACACAGGCTGGTAATTAGTGCACAGATAGGCCGTCACTCCTTATGCAGAATAGGGTACCCTGGATGGAATGTGCCCTGAGCCAGATGTGATTGCACAAAAGCCTCAGCCTCATTCCTGGAATTTATAACAACATCAACTGTAGTTTTATGAGATATGCCATCATTTTTAAAAAGGTTTGGACCCTTATAGAGCTATTCAAATAACCGTTGAGTCATTTGAGCTGAAATAGGAGTGGGATCAAAGTGGCAGTTCATAAATTAGAGGTGCTGCTGCTTTAAGGAGAGGGCAGGAATTCTGCAAGCAGCCCAGAGCTCT